TGTGAGTATGTATTCAACTTATTTTTGCACAACCACCCTAGTCTTATTTTCGAAAGTAAACATACCTGCCATTCAATGCTATCACAGCTTCCAAGGAGCTCCTTTGTAAGATGCACGTGATCTTCGCCGTTGGCAGGGATGTTTTCCCATTGGTGAAAAGTAAACTGCAATTTGTCGATCTGACCATGAAATATTATCAGATGATTTACAAGCATCAAAGCATGAAAAGAAATATAAGCAAAATAGGGATATTATGTGTAGTAGTGAATGGCAGGATCAAGAGGGATGAGTACCAACTGTAGTCCCTCAAATGATGTATAGCAAGACAAAAGCATAATGTTAAAACTTGGTTCTAATCACAACATAACCGAATATAAAAGGAATGAAAGTCGCCGCTAAACTAATATTCAAAGGCGTTCTCGGACAAACTTCGTAGGGACTAAAAACCTATATACGAAGGGATAACTTTTTAAAGGTACCATACATACCATTCATTTACTGAGATGCAACAACTGTGTAGGTTGTCAGTGTGTTGCTGGGATGTCAAGACTTCCTAAGCTGTCAGTGAGAAGCTTTTGAAAGACCATGTTACAGAAAATTTCATCTAGTTTTGGCTTGATCTCGAAATTGATGAGAAACTCTGGTAGCCAAGTACGATTACTTATTTAAGGTAGACATTGTGTGGTTGTACCCTTGTCCAAGATCATGGAGAAATGGGGGATGACTAGAGCCTGCAGTGGTAGCCGAGGGTCTTCATGGAAACAGCCGCTTCACTCTTTCAAGTAGAGTTCAGGTCCGTGTACAACTCGCGAGCTACTCGAGATCGACTTGGTCAAAGATCGGTCAACACTCAACTCGAATAGGCTCGGCTCGAGCTCGACTCAACATATTAACGAGCCGAGTCAAGCTACCCAATACTCGACTAGAAAAGATCGTGAGATACTCGATTATTTTATATACAATTAATTTTAAAATATAATCAGTTTTTATGATAAAATTTGTAAAATATAAATAATAAAAATGTCTTACATTTTCAGATATTTAAACAAAATTATACATTTTTAATTATAAAAATTAATTAATTATTTTTTATTAAAATCACTATTAAAAAAAGACAAAGAAAAACTATAAAAAGGGTTAATGAAATTGTCCCACATTGAAAGAGAGATGGTAAAAGAAAGGGGAAAAGATGTTATAAAAAGAGAGGGAGGTGAATTAAATTTTTTACTTTGTCTTTTTGATGATGAAGTTTGAAGTTGAACTATTTTTTTTATAAAAATAAGAGAACACCTTTAAGTTTTAAAATTTATAAGAGAAAGACCCTAAAATTTCATAAATTAAAATGGGTGAGCTTGATTCGAGTTCGAGTTCAAACTTGATTTGAGTTGCAGTTCGAGCTAGTTTCGAGCTCGAGCTAGTTTCGAGCTCGAGCTCGAGTTCGAGTTCGAGTTTGATTCAAGCCGAGTTCAAGCTTGATTCGAGTTCGAGTTCGAGCTTGAGAAATAGTTTTGAGTTCGATTCAAGCTTTGATTTTTACTACTCGCGAGTTTTCGAGTCGAGTTCGAGCTTGGAATTGGTTTTCAAGTTCGAGTCGAGTATAGTGATACTCGAGCTCGACTCGCATCATTTACACCCCTAGCTCCAGTACATACATCCTCCTCTCCAGACCCCGCCTTCGAGTGGGATATACTGGGCTCCTTCGGTTTGGTTTAGAGCCTGCAGTGGGGGTAAGCTGGTCATAACGAAAGTGGAGATACAAATGGACTCATGGACATGGTAGGCCAGAGGATAAGACCAAAATGATAAAGATAAGGTATAGCTGCATCCTGAAACTTATTCTACTTGAAAGAGTCTGCTTACAGTTGCAAAAAAGATTGGATCCAGGTTACAAGAAAGGTTGTGGATCACATGGCCTCTACTTGAGTTCTATGCTGATCAAAGAAATCATAACATCCCAAAATTAACAAGGTGCAAATGCTAAGGTGCAGCCCAAGAACCTAAGTTCATAGCCCAACATATAAACGGATTCGAGCTACTTTTCTTTCTCTATACCATCTTACGTATTTTGTGTGGCACATCCCTTGGCAGTTTAAAGTAGAAATCACTAATTTCATGATGGCGGCTTGTTTAAAGATTAAAACCAAAAGGTTGCAGGAACAAAGATAGTGTAAAATAAAATATTCCATCATACAACTAAGGTTAACCAAATACATGAGAATGAAAAATCTTACGGATTCCTGAATCTCCTCCTTTACAATGTAAAATGGATCTTGGGCTGAAGACATCTTGAGTCAAGTGTACATATAATTGACTGTACACAACAGATACTCACATTCATCAGTTTAAGGATGTCAAACAAAAAACAATAGAACTGCATACACTCTCAAAAAAGTGTATTCACACATAAAAACCTTGTGCTGACATGTGATTCAAATTGAAAATAAAACCTGAGGAGTTAAGGTTGATGATAAGAAGAGTGATGGTTGTACCAAGCAAAGCGAAGACTAACATAAATTAGAATGGATTCAGATGTACGAGATTTCCTGTTGGATTTAAGCAAATGAAAGTAACTGGATGCAGCCTAGTCTGTTAAAGTGTGACAGAGCTTGGCAGCCACAAAGGGAACTGCTGCATCTTACAATCAGAAGAATGGTAACGATCTAGTTTGGTTCACAGAAAGAAATTCTTTTTCAATGGAGAAAATAATTGACAGCCAAAGTGCAAAAAGGATCGGTATACCTAGTTGATCAGGAATCCATGGATAATTAATGGTGCCAAAGCACAGCAGGGGTCGTTTGGAGCACTTTGGATAGTACTAACGAACTACTGAAAATCGCCGCATAGAATTACTTAAACCTAATAAGGATCAAAACTTACAAGCAGAGACAAATGATCATGCTACAGTTTTTGGATCACAAATCGATTTAATCGGAAGAGTAACTAACGGAGGATTTGATAACCGACGAGTCAAATGAAATTCTAATGTGTGTTTCGGAATCTTGCTAAACAAACAGTATGTAAGCAGAGAAAACCCTAACCTTGAAGAATAGGATATTTGGACCGCCGGTCTCCGTTGCGTAGCGATGCAAGCAAATATAAAGAAAACAACCCTTGTCTTTCTTATCCTCTCAATTCTTCTTTTTGGCTTTTTTCTTTCTTTTTCTTGACGCGCTTTTTTGAACAAGAATCTTTATTCTTGTCAAGTGTACCTATAAGATTATATTGACAAAAAGGAAAAAAAAAAAAAAAAACATTTAAGGTTAATTTCATGTGCTTGCATATTTTGAACTTGTTTCTCATCACCATTTAAGGTTAATTTCAACATGGGAAGTGAGAACGGAAAAAACAAATTGCATGTACAATTAACTTTGAGAATTCAAGAAAAAAAGGACCAGTTACCATGTATATGTATTAGTAATAGTATATGACGCAAACACCACAAGGATACAACCCACAAGGGGTAGAAGGTAGAAACAAGAAACAAAAAACAAAATCCTCATTCTACACATCATTACAACAATGAATTGCGATTTTTCAATCTACAACCTCCTCACTTCTCATCTCAATACATACTTATGATTTAAACAGCAGAAAGGCTGGCCCATTTTCCAAGCTCATACGGGTCCGCATAATAATATAGCTTAATTCGGTTTGATAAAGACAGCCCTGTTGCCAGTGGCCGACCTCTAATATCTGAATCATCCTGATCTGCCGGATCATCTGCAAATGCCGCAATATCTCCAACTAGTCTAAAAGAGACTCGGCGGGTGGTCACAGGTCTTGGAAAATCAAAGTACATCGGGGTCCCAGCCTTCACCTCCGGTAACCGGTATTCTGCAACCACCACCATGTTGCGATTGTCCTGTAAAAGCTCAAAACCCATGGTCAATATTAACATAACCTCCATCCATGCAGTTAACTATACAGTGACTGTAAACAATCCGACCTAATAATATCCGCAAGAACTAAAAATCACTTATTCCAATAAGTAAACTGCAATTATGTGCTAAATGAACTTCAAAGGATGACAAGTTACATTATCTTTAGAATGGGTGAAGCAAGAACCAAAGGCGAGTGGTACAGCCACTATCTATCTAGTATTCTACCCAATGTTACCATAAAATACCTCTTCAAAGAGCTTCATGCCATCTCTCCTCACATTTCCCTTACTGTACGGGACAAATCTTTGGCAAATATACGGCAAATATACGGCAAATGCAACAAATTAACTCACACACCTTCCTCATCATTGGTGAGTGTTGAACCCCTAACCTCCTAGGAGGCAGGAGGCTCAGATACCGCTAAACCAAAGGCCCTTTGGTAAATGAGTGGAATTTCTGACATATGGTGTCCAATTTGCACCGGCTGCATCATTGCAGTAACATTTAAAGCAAGAATACACAGTATATTTGGAACCTATATGACCACTTCCCATGTTTTTCTCCTAGAGGTTAGAACCTGCCCTCTAATCAATTAACTTTTCCCTTGAAAATTTACCTTTTTGTGTAAGATCACATCCAACAGATATTAAGATACAGACATAACTTTAAGCTTAACCAAACCTTATTTTCAATATGTAAGATGGTTAGATATTTCTGATCCTAGAAAGTACCTGTAAAACAGATACTTGAAGGTATAGTACAGCTGCAGATATGAATCTATCTTCCCAAACAACTGATGATGAGTCCCATATGTTTACATCAGATGAAGGTGAATGGGTAACTCGAGGTTTTATTGCACTGAATCCATCAAGGCGGAATCCTTCCAGCGTTGGTGTAGCTGGAGACAAATATTGTTCCAACACCAGGTCATTGTCAATCAACCTCTCAGCCTCAACCGGGACCTGCAATACAGAAATATATTGAGATTTCAGAACTGGAAGGATGATTAAATGTATCACAATAAAAGATCAAAGTTGACAGTTGTACCTTGAATCTGTTCAGTGGTGGAGCTTTCTCCAACCAGTTTCTTACGCTAATCTGGTCAGAACTTTGTGATATTGAAAGTCCCGCGTCTATTTTCACTGGATTTCCAACTACAATAATTCTTTTTGCATGCAGACATGGATCACTTTCTAGTGGTCCTCCTAAAGATGAACGCCTATTTAAGTCGGAGAAAGGGTTTTCATCCAAGGATAGAAGATCGAAATCCTTCTCCAAATTTACAGAGCTTGAGCCAGCTTTCTGGATACTTAGTTTAATCCAGATCATGCGACAACAGACAGAATTTCGAAAAGAAAAGTTGATGTGCCTCGGAATTAGGACATCATCACCAGGTTTTTCAGGCCCATAAAGCTCAGGGGAAGATGTAATGAGTGATCGAACGTCCCAATTTCCCATAATTGTTCTTTCTTCCTTCTGTAATTTATTGCTTGCCCATATTTGCACCTGCATAATAGACCAAAATGAGAAAAAAACAGATCCATGCATGAAATGAGAATGCAAGTATCATGTTACAGGAGAGCATTAAGCTTATACAAGCCTGACAGACAAACAAACATAACGTTGATTTCTATTCCAAGACAAGTTATTTGGAGTAAAAGCAATAAAGCATGTTGTTTGCAGTTCTGCAGGAACAATTTTAGGAACTTCGTTGTGTTGTCTTACAAAGAAATTTTTGCACAAATTTCTGAAAGTCTTTACAAATCGAAAGTCTGTTTCTTTCATCAATGCTGGTATACTACATACCGAAACTTCTTGCAAGTAATTATATAGGAAGTCACTCTGGCTTTACAAATCTAAAGTCTGTTTCTTTCATCAATAGATATTTCTCATTTCTTATATTTGTGAAGTCAAAGGACGAAAATATCTAACATTCACCAGTAAGCAACATATTACATTACAAACTCAAATGATAGACTACAAATGTAAGGCCCCATTTGGTTTGCAGGACTGGCTAGGATTTGAAGGGATTTGGAATAAAATTCCATTCCAATCCTATGTTTGTTTTCAAGGAATCCTTGGATTTTAAATTCCAGGATTCTAATGAAATCCTACAAACATGAGATTTAGAAATCCTATTAGGGAGTTGGTATTTCATGGGATTTCGTAGGATTTATTTGTAATAATGTTTTCAAATATGTCAAAAAACTTGTTTTTTAATAAATAAAATAATTTAATTATTCTTATAATTTTTATAATTAGTATTATAAATCATTTATAAAGAATGGAATTCAATTTGATTTTAAATCCTACAAACCAAACACACCATAGCTTTCAAATCCTTCAATTCCAAATCCTCCAAATTCTTCCACAAACCCCAAATCCCTCAAAAACATTCCTTCAAACCAAGCATTTGGATAGGAGGAAATCAATGTGGTTTCCACAGGAAAACAGATGGGGGTTATGCAAACAGCCAAGCATACTGTGAAAACCTTACAAACATTATCATAGGCAAGCCATTGTACATCCAAAAGTCCACTGCTCCATTTCCACAAAAATTGCCACCTTTGATGGTACACACAAAAGAATAAAAACAGTTGGCTATTGCTCAAAAGCCAAAATACCCTAGTCTTAATCCTCTAAATTCAAGTCCATGTCAATCTTTAAAATATGAATCTCCAGTACATTGTAATGATTATCTGGGAACAAATAAGTAACTTAACATTAAAAAACTATCCATGAAAAGAAACATTGCATTTCTTTGACAAATTTAATCATTATGGGGTGGAGAGAGTATGAAGGAAACCATTTGCTGCCAAAATTAAACAAGAAAGTGCAATGAAGATAAAATGAAGTTCCCTAGGACTCAAGTCCATTGATCTCATTGCACATTAAGCTTCTCTTGAACAAATTAAGGTATTATCATACAGGTATTGCTCAGGAAAAACTGAACCTTAGCTGATACTTCACATAAAAGCCTGGCATAAATTTACTTACAGTAGGGGAATCAGACATAGAATAGCCACAGGGACTAAGAACAAGAACAACGCCCGAGACGTTGGAGAGATTGCCAAGAACAATAACAAACTCAGCAGAAGAGGTATTAGGAGGAGCTTTCCAGTACGACTCTTGCGATACAGTATCCAAAGGTGCAAGCAATGACAAGAGCGGTGCTGAACCTGGCGCTGATTCAATCTAAGAGAAGTCACAATGCAAAAGGCTTTAAAACAATGTAGGTCAACACATAAATTTATAAGGCAGGTTCTTTTCAGTAGTAGCATGTTATCTCCATGAAGTGCATATACAATCTGAAAAGTGAATTCATATAAGGTTTAGTTATTGACCACAAAGAACTTTTGTTGCCGACAAGGACTTATTTTCATATAGCTCTTCAGTTCTAATACTTCTTCACTAACCATATCAACCATGAGAAAAGACTAAAATATAGGCCCCCTCTGGTTATTAATTGCCAACAAATATTGAATAAGGAAATAAAGTGACCCGGATTGAAGCAAGCAACAGCAATGCAAAAAATTGAATCATAATGTAATTGAAAGCTTACAATGATGAAGCACAGATATTGCGGTCAATACCTAATCCACATAGAGGAACAAACAAAACTTCAGTTGCATCTATACTCCCCTTTAAAGATAACAATTAGATACAGTAGTGGCAGCATATCTATTATATGCTTTGAGCTAACAAAACATTAAGGCTTTACATGTGATTACATCTCATGCTCCCAGATGACAACAGAAAAAAAAATTGAATCTTAATAATTAGTTTGAGTTTAAGAAACTGACCTATCAGAAGCCCATACTAATAAAGCATAACTGTATTTCATAAGACTACTAAGTGATCCAGTTCTAAGCAGGTGATTACTAATGATTGTTGCCAGTTTAAGTTACAAGATTGGTCTGGCCAGCAGGAAATCAAAATTAGCATCCAGTTGTTTGTGGGACTACTATTCTACTACTGCAACAAGAAAAAACATCTGAACACTTCAACAGCATACAAGAATCGAAGGAAAGATAATACCGAGTGCAAAATGCTGCCAAACGGGAATTCGGCTAATGATTCTTCTCCTTTGAGTAAATGTCGGACGACCTTAGTTCCATGTCTGGCAGATTTCATCGTTCTTCCAGGAAGATAATCCCTTCCTACTGCTTGATCCAAAGCTTTGTAAGCAGCAAGGTCAGATCTAGTACTTCTTCGCTGGCTGACCAAAACCCTAACATAATCCAGGATCAGTGCATCAAGAACAGTATCATGACAGCACAACTTACAAATAATCCCATCGGTTGTCACAGAACGATTTAAAGAGTCGGTATAGCTTGATCCACCATTATAACTTGGGAGCTCCCTTGAAGAATAACTTCCAAGAAGAAGAGCTCCTCTACCGGCGCAACAAACTCTGCAGACCTTGCGTCGACACTCAGAGCATGAAAACATGGATAGCGACGAAGACGTTGATGTTAAAGGTTCGGCGCGAACCTGACATGAGCCCCCACAACAACCCTCGCCTATTTTATTAATATTCCAGAAATCAATGTTGATATTATCATCAATAGAACCAAGACCAATGGCACCAGAAGTTTTATCTTCTAAGGAAATATGACCAAGAAGTGCAAGGGCATTTGCAGCCCTGCATAATGAACCAATGTAAGATTCTTCAAGCAATGCATTGGGATTTATGGTAGCTGGATCAATGCCAATAGACAGTAAAGCTCTATCTCGTTCAGCAGCAGATAGATTTAGGCGAAGACGTTCAATTTCTAGTTTCATGGCTTCCGCAAAGCCTAGTTTGTTAGCCTGCAAAAGTCCATTGACCTTGATTAGATTGCACATATAAAACCCCAAAAGGAACCGTTTATTCAAAGAACTTACATCTATTTTTTCTACGAAAAGAAACTGCAGTGATACAGAAGTCCACAAGCGAGACTATAATATAGGATTTGCAGCTAATGTAACAATCAGATTTCCCAATAGAACAGCATTGGTCATGCTCTCACTTTAACAACTGTGGGAAAATGTTTGATCTACATTGTCAATGTGTAAGGGGTTCACATGGAATTCTTCAGGTTTCACATTTGGAGGCTAACAAAAACCAAATTGCCAAAGAGTGTATCAAAAATAGAACTAACAAAAAGGTTTTGTTTGTCATATTTAAGCACAAGACTAATTATTGCATGTTTTCAATCATAAACCACATCCTTTCAAGTTCACATCCATATATGGTATCATTTTTTTCCCTATAAAAGTCTGTACTCCCACCCCTTTAAGTGGTAAGTTTTTTTCTCTCAGATCTTGATCGTGCAGAGTTGTCCTACCACTCTTGTTTTATCCAAGTTCATGTATTTTTTGTTGTTTTCCATGGCCTCTGTTGATGAAATAGCAGTAAGTTTCAGATGATAGAGATTGGAAAGACTGGGGTTAGCTTTGAAGAAATTGGTGCGAATGTGGCAGTTTTATATGCAGATCCATGTTTAGTTGGGAAACTTTTATCATGCAGATAGGTGCAGCGCTGCACACAGATGCAATGCATCGGATGATGAAAAATGTGTTGGATCTGCAGAGGCAGATCATGTGCAAGATGGTAGTTCATAACAATTATGTGAACTTGATTGGGATGTGATTAACGTAAGCAATAGGGAGAAATATCTATATATGCAGCATCAGGTTACCAATCATGGATTAAGGATACAAAATTTTGAGCAAAATTCAAAAGGTTTACAAAGAGCATGAGGCCATGCAGGGACCCGTCCCATCCAGACATTCTTGGGCAAACCTAATGTTTTTTCCATAGTCCCCAGTGGCCCCTACTAATGTATTTCCACACCTAAGCATGACCTGAACCAATCTACTCTAGCCTATGTGGGAACAAAAATAGTTATGCAAGAGCAAAAGCATATTAAGGAAATAGCATACCACATGTGAGGCAGTCAACATCTTATAACAACTTATATACTGCTGAGGACCACATTCAGTTGGCACTTTATCTTGCACAGAAACCTTAGGAGAGTCATTTGCTTCATCATGATCATGAAATGGGTTGAGAAATGGATCATGTAAAGCAGCTTCTGGCACTGGTTGTGAAATGGATCCTGATATAATGTCATCGCCTGATAAGAGGTCTACCCAGGTGCTGGTGGATTTTTCAGATTTTGCAGGTGGTAATACATCATTGGTAAGGGATACAGCAAAGGGATTGCTGTTCACATCAGATGGCAAAGGGTTGGTATCTTTTTTAACTTTATTGATATGTTCCCATAACCTCATGCCAGGGCCATCGGAAGCAAAAAGGTCTCTCCATGGAAGAGAAATTCCAAGTATCTCAACCTGTTACATAATCCAGTAAAGGCCAATCAAGTAGAAATTACATCAACCACCCCTGTAAAAATGAACTTCTAACCTTCTCACATATAGAAAGACTAACGCACACACAAAGCAATGATGTTAATTAAGAACTGATTGCATCAATCAGAAATTAAATCAAACTTGTTTATCAAAAAATATGAAGAGCACAAGGGTGGCAACTATATGCACCAGTTTGTTTCTTGGAAATCTGGTCTCCTAAAATTTATATAAACATATCATTACTCAATCCAATATTGGTCCCAGAATTATTTTTTTACTTGGTTTATTTTCAATGAAGGTTTATGAAGTGAGATTTTCTACTACCACTGGAAAAGAACATCTGGGTCATGTGTTCAACAAAAAGAGGTTTATAGTTGAAAAAAGTTCTCACTGTGTATGAATGGCAGGCCATTTGGAAAGCAATTCACTTGACCCTCCTTCAGTTAGAGTTCATAGCATAGCAGATCAATTCCAAGAAAGTCTATCATGTTTAGAATTCTAATGCTCTTTTTTGCAACCAAATTGAATGACCATATGGACATCAAAATTGAATGACCATATGGACATTAACATCATGTCACACCTACATTGCTGCCAGTATGATGCAGGTGGCAGAGCAAGTAAAGCTTTGGATTTAGAAAGAAGATAAGATATGCACAATCTTAATGGAGCTAATAAACCAACATTAGCAGTAAAAAGATGTATTTTAGTCTCAGTTTACCTCACCGAGTGTGATTGGGGTTCTGGCTGACACAGCAGGATAGAATGTGAGTACAACCACACGAGTAAGAAAGTCCAATTCGCCTTCCAGTTCTTCAAAATCATACAGAAATGGAAGGCTGATTGTATCTTGGACATGTAGGCGTGCACCAGCTCCTGTCACGGCCATATCCTCAGAACTAGTAGGTCCTGGTATGGGTATCGCAATGCTTGTCCCATTAGCACATTGAGGAATAGATGCTCCCTGTAAACAAAGACAAACCTTGATTAAGCTAATATAACTAAGCTAAAACCAGTATATTGCCTTCAGTACCCCTCCCCCCCAAAAAAAAAAAAACCCGGCCTCTTCTCCCAATTGAGAAAAATACATAGTGATCTTTTATCAAGCATAATACAAAATAATGCAACTCAAATCTTATAACTAGTTGGGTTTATGCTCAAAATGTCACCTACGGAGATATGCAGACAAGAGGGAGGCAAAGAGAGAGGACATAAACTAAAAGGGCTCAGATGCGGCGATTGCGTTCCTCCACTCCTGCTGAGCCTGATTTAATTCCTCTTATCCCTATTTCCCCTTACACTTCTGTTGCTGAAAGTCACTGCTCAGCAGTGAGTCCAAAGGGTATCCTTGGATACAAATCAACCACGTCAACAGAAATATTTCAGTTTCTTCAATACTGATACCACCTATTATTTTAGCTAAATTACTTCTAAGTTCTAATATCATCCATCCTCCTGTGATCAAACATCCAGCCGTTTCAGCTACCCAAATAATATGTACATGATGCCCCTTGAATTGCGCACAATCAAACCCATATCTTCATTATGTTCTATAAGCTCGATCAAATCACATTGCATGATTAAAATTTCTAGCCTCCCACCCAAACATAAAGAGATAACCCTTTTGACTACCCCCTAATATTAACATTCATTTTTGAAAATTATTTAAACATATAAATTATATCAAATACATAGAGTAGAAAAGGAACTGAAACAAAGTAAAGAAATTGAAACGAGCACTGCAATCTAGACTTGGTAGGTAGCATGGCATTACGTGACACATATCATGACCACCAATTATGAAACATTTACTGAGAAGTGTATGAACTTCTACTTGAAAGTTGCTTTTTTCCTGGGCCATCTTACAGTCCATTTGAAGAGAAGAGGCATTATGGTGGATCCAAGATTTTGAAGTGTTAGTTTGGAGCCGTGACTTGATTTTTAGATCTTTACAACAATGGGTTCATTGAAAAACTGTTAAAAACATCACCACATAACTTTAATGTTCTACAAAACTTGCCAGATGTCTAAGGCATCCTTGGTGATTAGATAGACCATAAAATTGAGAGATGTAACCACAAGAATTAAGGGTAGCCGTAGTTCATAGAGCAAAGAAACTAAACACTTGTGGGGGATGGACATGTTAGTTAAAGCTAACATTCGATAAGAGGATGACCAAAAATAATTGCTGTGTGAACACTGCAAATTTCTTTCAGTTTAGAAGCCTAAATAAAAAAAATCCAAACAATATATGTGTGTCTTCATATAGGTTTTATCCTAGCACCAACTAAAGAAGCATGAAGAGTGTGGCCACTAATTCAACACGCCAAGTGCCAGAAGAGATGAGTCACACCTCCACGACAAGTTTAAGCCCATCTAGATCGCGTCCAGTTCTCACATCAACTCTTGATGGAAATGTTGAACTATCTGCACCATGTGAAATTGTGAGAAGAAGCTGACAAACATGACAAGGCTCGCCAAGGTGTATAAACAGTTCCATTACATCTGCGGCCTGTGGGCAAACCTGTACAACAGAAAATTTCATATTTTATTGGATAGTAACATTTCCATTTTTGTAATTCGCGATTATGCGCATGTTACATATTAAGCCTTAGAAAACAGAAACATATTATGGTTACCCAGATGAGGTCTTTTTGCTTAAAGCTAAGAAGACTGCCTCCATCATCAGAACTCGGCAAAATGCTGGCAACTGGCTTAAGAAGGCAACCAAATGGTCGACTAGGCACCTACCAGGAGACAGAAAATAATAAGAGATATGAAGTGATGCTGTATTTCAGCACAAAACAACATGAAGAAGACTCATTGTAATTTCTTGTGCTACACTGAAGCCACCGAACTTGTAATTATATGTAATTTAAAACAATAGTTTTTCTAAAACACGAGATGCATCAAAAACCATGTCTTTGGCATAAGAGTTGTTCTCTATTTTATAACAGTTTTGTACTATTTGTAACTTTAATTATGGTTGCACCCAAAACATTAGCAAAATGTGCACTTATAACACGAATAACTTGATATTGTGGTTGTAAACAACCACCTTCAAAACCTTAACATAGTGAGAGTCAGCATTCAGAAAATAAGTGAAGGCAACAGAAAAAAATGTAAGATCACTGAATATAAAAGGTGTGTTTCCACTTCTGAGATTAAGCTAATCAACTCAAATAAGTAAATGTGTGCATGTTAATAAGCATGGATTGTGAGGTCAATTCCTTTCCTACAAGGTAAAAGCAAATGACAACTTCACTAGAATACGAGAAAGCTAATCAATATGATCAAAAGAATGTACAATACATAAATAGAGGTCAACTTAAATTTGTGAATCTCACAGAATATTGTCTGTGCAAGTAGGGTGTAAAAGAGAAAAGCCGAGTAGTAGGTTATTCGAGCTCGGCTCAAAAAAATAATACCAGGCTCAAGCTCGAATAACTTTTTCAAGGTAGGGCTCGAGCTCGAATATTTTTTGAATTATTGAGCTCAAGCTCAATGCTCGATTATGGGCTCAAACTCGAGATCGATCAACTAGTTTATTGACTCGAGCTCGATAATTTTATATTTTTATAGTATGATTAATAAACATATGAGCATGTTTGGCTCGAATGCTCGAATGGCTTGAATCTCGACTCGAAAAATTTAATCGAGTTTTCAAATGAGCCGGGTAGAACATTGGTGTTATTAAGCTCGGTTCGTTAAGTTAAACGAGTTCTGTTTTGTGTTCGAGATCGAATCGAGCTCGAGAATTATTAAGCTCGAGCTCAGGATCAAGTAGCTTGTTAAAAGGCTTGAATCGTTTACACCCCTATGTGGAAGCCTACTAGACGCCAAAAGTAGGGCCCATTAGATGAACCTACAAGCAGCTTGTGTGCAAGACAAAGCTTCCACGAGCATTATTCAATGTAGTATTCCAGAAATCAGAATTTTCATAACATATACATATGTATGTAGTAGTATTCCATGATCTCCATCTACCTCTGTGTATCAGCCAACATACCAACAGTACTGTTTTATCCAGCTGGGAAACACAGATTAGTTTGCCAATGTTCAATGTCAAATCCAGGTGGTGGATGATGTAAGGTTGTATACTGAATCTACACCAAACAGGTCCAAATATTATCCAAAATTTACCATCTACTCTGGATGGAACAAATTTTCAGGCATCCTAGTCCATTGTGCTACATTGACGGTCCTAGACTCTAAAATACTGACTTATGCAAAATCACCAACACGTTACAAAAACTGGACATTTATACTCAAAAACAAGAACCTAGAGTGCCAGTAAGCTCTCATAAAATTCTAACCGAACACCAAAAAATGTGTCTCGATGATGATCACAAATTGCATTATGTAAAATAACATGAAGTCTTTAGCACCGACTAAGGTACTAAACTGGTACTCCGCACCCTACAGTCGGATAAGAAAGAACAATAAATAGTGAATTAGTTAAAGCAGTCACTAGGCATAGCATTGCCAGGTGCAGGTCTCTGTAAGCATAAATCCATCTGCAGTGCTAGCAACTGTTTTAGGTATAGAAAAGATAGATTACATTCAAATATCTACTTATACACAATTTCAAAATGCCCCAACAGCCAAAGGCCTGTTACACAATAAGATAATACATAAATTCATACACGCATACATGCATATATTTATATATGACAACAAAGACCGTCAACAGACATCATTGGCTCCAAGAAAAATCAGTTTAAGAGCAAATGATACTTGTACATCAAACTTAGTGCTAGATACAAAGTGATACATGAGCAGCATATGAAGAAAATGAAGAAAATGAAGAAAAAGAAATTAAATGGAAGAACAAAATGGAGTTCAGTCTCAGAATATAATAAACAATGGGAACATTGACAGTATAAGGCATGAATGAGTTGCTCAAAATCATGTTATTTTAAACTAAGCAGGCATCAGATTGGGAAATAAGCTAGTCACTTATACACTGAACCGTTATCTTTATTAGTCTTTCGGTTAATTGTTAATATTTCCCCCTAAAGAGTTGTAATATATATATATATATATATATATATATATATATATATGTCCAGCATCTTCGAACTTCTCAAATATATATGCAGATATTAGTTATGAACCATTTATGGGTCGTCATGGCTTCCATCAGTAGTCTGTTCTGCAAAACAAAAACTAAAAAAAACGATTCATCTCCCACAGTTACGTACATGTAAAGGTTGGACCGGTAGTGATGGAAGATGCTTGAAAAGCCGTAGTCCAAGGAACATCTCTAACTGCTTCTGACGGGAGCTATCCACAACTGCATTTTTATATCTTCTCTGCAAAGTTATTTTCATATTCTGTGCCACAGAGAACTGTTTGAACTTCCCTGCTTCCTCGCTAAATATGCTAAGAATTTGACTATGCATTGCTTTAGATCCGGTGTACAGTGTTGCATGAATATCACCAGCGATCAGAAAAAGGTCAGCCAATTGACATACGGGTGACAAAATTGTAGACCTTTTGAACTCCTCAAATGTCATGTCAAAACGCTTCCAAGGTTTATCTGGACATGGATGATTCCAGGTCGTGGTCCTAGTATTGTGATCAATATAATATGATTTTCCAGTTACAGCATCAGATCGTTTTTCCCATCCTGGTGGTAAGGGAGCAGTATATCCACCATAGTTATTAGCTGACTGATAGCCAATAGCCAAGTCACTATCAAGAGATATTCCAAGCCGTCTGCACTGCTCTGTGAAAACTTGAAGGGCACCAAAATAACTAGCAGCATTTGTTCGATCCAAAGAATCCGCGCAGTTAAAACGTATGACTCCATTTTGATGTAACCGTATGCAGAAGGCACCAACAAGGTCATCATTGTAAATTACTTCACCTTGGCAATCCTTCATTCTCTGACGAGAGGGAAGATAATCTCCTTCAGAAATCCCTATGGATATTGTCGGTGCTTTTAGAAGGTACCACAGTCCTTCTATGGTCCGCTGTTCACCCTTTAATTTGATACTTGCATGCCAATCATAATTTATTAAATGAACTCTAGTATTAGGAAGTTCTCCAGTTGATCGGACGTGGTTCATAGATTCCTCAAAATGCTGAACTAGAATGGATTCTGATTTTCCTTCTCCATTCCGTAGCAAGTTAATGCACACAATTGGAACCAAAGGGATTCTCTTTTGGTTTGTACCAACTATATCTAAATTTCTTTTATCGTATCTATTAGTTAATCTCTGATAATACCGTGCACTTCCTTTATATGGATCATGATCTGAAACATATATTTCTGCTTCCGCAGCAGTGATCTTTAGTTCTGCACCCCACCAGATGGGAATAGTGCCTCGTCTCCATATATAGGTGTTGAAAGGCACGCTCTGCCCAGCCCTCTTTGGAACCCATACAAGTTGCTCACACTCAACTTCATTGCCTGCCCAATAAAGATGCCAATCAAAAGCATAAAAATCGAGATCAAAAGAATTATAAAGCATCAACAGCTTGTTATCTAAACCTCCTAAATAACCATGATAAAAGTTAATTGTTCTAACAAATTTTACCACTTCTAGATATTTTCAACTAGATAACCCATACAAGTTCTCTCTTTTCATTAATATGAAAATATTCAACTCTGTTTTAATTGTTTCACTTTCTTCTCATTGGATATGCTTCACACAGGCTTGCCATGGTAAGGAAGAAGAGGGAAATAGAACCAATTGGAAAATGCAGTACAATGTAGAGTTATACGCTGTGTGATGACGTAGTCCAGAAAATTGTTGTTAAAAATCTAAAGGAGAACAGAATCCTCCATGGAAGGCAACTTCAACTCTACCACTGTAACCACAAGGATGGTGCCTGATTGGTTTGAGCTTGGCTCCAAAGATCAAAAGTACCTGGAGGTCCCAGGTTCAAATCCAAGGAGGAATAAAAATCCCCTTGTGGCCGCGGAGGTTCAAATGCGGTGACTCCGGGCTATCTGCAAAGCAGGTGGTCGCCCTGGGATTAGTCGGCTCGCATAGCGGGTTGGATATCCAGGTTAATCAAAAAAAAAACTCTACCACTGTCTACTAACTACTAACAGTATGCTTAGATGGATGCTAATCATGTTGATGATAGCTTCAAAATAAGTGTTCTTGTCAAATTCTTGAGGTTAATGAAGCCTCTATCTCCAACAAAACTACTATTCAAAGGCTTGCTGTGAGAAGACTCATAGTTACCAATCTACAGAAAAATGCGTTGACAGTTTCTGAAAGCCAAGCCAAGAAGCTGCCAGATGTTTGTTTTTTTCAAATGTTCTCATTTGCCTTTTCTGTAGAGTTGGTTTTACGTCCCAGATAGCTTGCTTAGGGTTCAAGCTCAGCGATCTGCATCAATTCTTACATTAGCATTTTGGTATCAATTAGAACCACCTACGTATTAGAAGATCCTGAGTGAGCAATGCTTTTTGCTGCATAGTTGCCATATGTATGATATGTTAGTACTGAAACGCAAATATAGAATAAGAGACCTTATCAATGAGTATGCCATGACTATCAGCATGAATTTTATCATACATTCGTATGCTTTCATTAAAAAATTCCTTTTCTTGATTTCAAGGTGTTGCAGGTCTTCAAATTATTGTAAGGAACTAAACATGGAATAAACGTACTATCTATCCCATTCGACGAAGTGTTATGAGATATAAGATTCGACTCTTGAAACTTACTTCAACTATAGATAAGTTTAGAATTACCTATTGAGCTATGAGCCTATGACCACTACTTTATAGTGTTAAAGTACAACTTTTTTAGAAAATTGACCTACAATTTTTATTAGAAAAAACTGAATGAGTCATCTTACATATGGCACTAGAAGACAGCTTGATACACTTACAAGAACAAAAAAGGCAAGACAAGAAGCACTCATTACTTCATTAGAATACAGCTATTTCAATAAGCATGATGAACCCACTGAATTTTGCAAGATAAGTGTATTCACAAAAAGAACATCAATTGTCTTGTCTTGGAAGATGCCAAGCTACCTGTGCTATAACACGAATTTATGCCCCTTGCTAAGTATCGAGTGCCAGGATGAAGCCTGCTTCGACGAGCTATGAGAGCAACAATTCCTTCTTGCTGACCTAAGCTTCCAAAATTTCGAGATTCTGCGAAACCCTGTAAATTGGTATGGATTGGTTGAGCATGTAATACTGTTGGATCTCGGATGCTATTTGGATTTACCATGTTATAAAACAGGTGGGTCATGTAAATAAAATCTGAAAATATATTTCAATTAATGACAAGGTATACAACACATACAAATAGTCATCTAAGTAATGCATAAAAGTATTGACTTCTTAAGCTAACAAAACATAAGAGTGTATGCTGTAGCAAAAGATCATCTTTTAAGTACTAGAAGAAAAATATAAGTGTGCATGGCAATGGCATGGCTGGAATTTACTATTATTCTGCATAAGAAGATATACTTATTACTAAACATTCGGCAAATGCGCACATAATCTGACTACAGAATGGGTGCATTTTATAAAAGAGATGGTGTTGTCTCGCTGACAGGGGCATTTGACATCTTGCAAGATATCCAACTGATGAGGATGGCAATGGCAAGAATTTAATATGACGGCATAAAGCAAAAGCGAATACCTGCAGTAAGATGACACAATGATGCTCCAGACCAATTCTTCTGAAGGGATTCGAGAACCATCCATTCCAAACAAATTCCTCATCAGGGTTTCTAACAGTAGTGTGACTTGGAAAGGGCCGAGTTATATCCCTTGTTTCACAGAAGTAGTGTTTTCCATCTATATCAAGTTCAGCCAGTTCTTGGATATTCTTTACTTCTCCTTTCCCCTGGGGTTGAGGATTTTGAAGTAAGACTTTGATCCATTGGCTCTCACTAACTGTGTACACACACCCGTCACCAGGCAAATTCGGAATGCTAGCAGTCAACTTTGTTGCAACAAGCAGCAAGGCAAAGCTACCGAGCACTGCATAACCTAATATGGCCCTGGCATAAGTTATACTCTTACAATTTGACCTTGAACCATTTGTGACGTAGTTTAATGCCTCATCTTGGGAGTTGAAAACATCATAACCCAGCTTCCAGTCATGTCTAAGAGATCCGGTTGTCGGATCAACAAAAATGACCTGAGTGTCATTCCTAGAAGACAAGCTAACAACTATATATACCTCACTGGAATCAAGTGTAAGAACAACAACAGATGTAGCCCTCAATCCACCAGCTGCAATAAATGTCAAATAAAAGAGCATGGAAGGAGCCAAGAATGAGAATCCAAAAGTATATATCACATGACTTTGTTGTAAAAAATAATCAGCAAGAGATAAGCATGCAAATCAAGAGTGGTGACAGAAACAGTGATAAAGTTATAAAAGGTTCACAATGGAACCGCAAAAAGTTTCAAGGGGCTAACCAGGTGATTCCATGATCTCACAACGAGCCTGCCTTAGGGGTTGATGACAGCGTTAAGGTTCATGACTCCTATTACAGAAAACATTTTATAATCTAATTAAAATATGTGATACAAGGATGCATTAGTCCTCTCATAAAATAAATAAAGGTGGATACGCAGAAAAAGTTACTGTCAAAGATGGCGAAGATCAATACACAACTATGAGTTCTAGTGGAACAATGAGCATTAAGATCATATTATAGTTCTTCCTTGAAATCTTACAGATAAATTACCAACAAATCATGATATGGACTTGATCACTGGTGCTGCCCATATACAAACATGTTGGTATAATAGTTTGGTACATAAGGTAGTATAATTACATACCCGGCTATGACAATGTAAAAGTTGGATTGAGATTATATCTTCCTTTGGGAAGTACTTGAGAATATGGATAATCCAATTTAATTGAAATGTCGAGAAGTTAACATACTCCCGTCTAAAGAACATTGGGAGGTCATCAGTCCAGCGAATAACATATCAATCAGTAAATCCTAACTCACTTACTATGCACGCCTCGCCAGCAAAATAATAGTGGAGAGCTAAGGAAATGGATCTGAGAAAATATAATACAAATTCTTAAGTAACTGTGACCTAATTATAAGAAAATCAGTATCACAGACTTATGAAGCCAATATCTAATCATTAGTACGTGCTATGAAAATTGTAGTTGATAAAAACCCAAAATATAACTTGAAGTGATTGAAGGAGACAGTACACAGAATATAATAAGCATATGAGATCAAACGAGGAAAACACTAACCATGTAACGAAAAGTTCGATATCGGGAAATAAATGGGGTGCCGGAATCAATAACAGATCACCGGCGAGGTCGTCAAGGTAAAGAGAGGAGGGGATCCAAACGAGAGAAATGAAGACGTGTCTCCTTTTTTTAATTAGTGTTGGTCTAACGACAGTGTTAGAAAACATGAGCGAGTGACGAGAACGGCCCCTTAACTTTAACATGAAATTATATGAAGCTGTGTTATCTATACTATCTTATTAAGCAAATTTAATAAAAGTTTTAAAGTTTTAAAATTCTAAATGATCAAAATATCATTTATACTCATTTTTTCATTTTTTTCACCCTCTCCTCTCCTCACATACACTCATCTCCTCACATACATTCACCCTCTCACAACCTGTTTTTTTTTTAAATCTTAATTTTAAATTTACACTTTATATCTCTATAATTAATTAATTATATATTTTACGTCATTTACTTTTAAATGTTTCATTTTAAACTTTTATCAAATTAGCATACATAATTGTATATCTATTAAAACATGTTTAAAAAATACATTTTTATTTT